TAATCAAAACTTGCAGTAAAGTAAGGTAACCATAGTCTAAATTGTGTTTCTTGGTTTTTTTGTTTGTTTGTTTTGGGACCACACCTGGTGGTGGTCAGGGCTTACTTCTAGCTTTGTGCTTAGAGATCACTCTTGGTGAGCTGGTGAGCTTGGGGAACCCTATGGGGTGCTGAGGACTGAACCCAGGTCAGCCATATGCAGGCAAATGCCATACCTTCTTTACTATTGCTCCAGCCCCCAAAGTCTAAAGTGTTGTTTTTTTAAAAAAATTTTGTTTTAAATGTCCCATTCCAAAAGTAATGCAATCACACATGGAACTGGTTTCAAAGCCTAGAGTGTCCAGAGTTTCTACACTGGGACTGCAGGAAGTATATTCGGATTTCTGTGCGTTTTGTTGTTGTTCTTGTTGTTCTTGTTGTTCCTCTTTGGTGTTCCTCACCCAATGGGTGAAAGAGGCTCTCATCACCATGGTACTGACTGTACTTTACCAAGATCCACAGTGCAGTCAGTCCCTGAATTGTTATCGGATAGCAGGTTTGGGAGTGGACACAAGTGACTCCTTGTTGCAGAGTCACTCCTGACTTCTGAGAGGAAAGGCTTCTGCAGCGCTGTGTGTTCAAGCTCTCCCCAACATGGAGCCAGGAGTAAGGCCACTGGGACAGAGGTGCCCCTCCTGGTGGAGGTTGGCATCACTCACTGGCATCCTTCTCTCAGTCTCTGTCCCTTGGCACCCTGGGTCTGCCAGCAGATTATGCTATCATAATCTCTATGATAGCATCCAACTTCTCTTTTGAACTTGAAAGGTGAAGGTAAAACCTTATAAAATCATATAAAAAAGACCACCACATCTTCTGATAGGAAGGATATGCAGTCTCTTTTCTTACTTATGATCAAGGATGGGCAACAATAGGGTCCTCAAGGAGCTATTTTAGTTGGTGTGTCACTCAAAGTTTCAGTAGGTCTGAGATGGCCTTTTCATCCAACTGTGTCATGATGGCCCAGAGGACAGTCCACATCCCGACCTTTGCCAGATCACCTGAAGCCATTCAAGACCTGACCATACAGCCCTTTTATTCCAACAAAGGCTCAGGTTGCTAGCAAACATAGATACATCAAATGTCCTGCCACCAGACAAAAATAAATTTTTGCTATTTTTCCTGTTGGTTTAGAGAAACCATGTGAAGCTCAGGAAACACTTCTTATATCATAACATTGGTTTGTCCTTTCTCCCTGACTGCAGGGAGTTTAGGTTTATTGGGTTGCACCCATCACAGTGCTCCTGAGGCACTCCTATCCTTCTGTGTTTATCTATAACCTCTCCTCTGTGTTCTGCTTCCCCTCTCTGTTAAACATCTATATCCCCCATCAGACACTATGACTTGCAAGGTCCTATCCTTCTAAGGACTCTGGATTTTGTATTTGTAAGTAAAATATTGCTTTTCTCCTTCCCTTATGTCCTTTGCATAGTTTATTTCAGAGCAATGTCTTTTTGTATAGACACAGGAAGACAGTTAATGCTACGCTTTTGTAACTTGACTCTGAATAACAATTACTCCCGGGCATCTGTTAGATTTATTTGACTTAAGCCTCAGTTGCCTTTAGTTCCTAGCACCCCAAAAGCAGGGTCCCGACGAAGGGACTGGATAGACCCAGGCCAAACTGTGAGCTACCCTGGCATCAAAATAGGACAGACAAGCACCATAATACTTAATTATAATTTAAGAGCAGGGCCATGGACAAATTTTGTCATGATCCAGAGAGAAACAACTGAATAAGGACCCTGCTGGGGTTAGGAATGATTAATCTGGCCTGAGGACTGTAGTCTGGGATCCATAGTGAGATGTCCCCAGGATAGCCACTCTATAAGTTTAATATATCTCTTACTAGGCTGGAGTGATAGCACAAAGGGTAGGGCATTTGCCTTGCAAGTGGCCATGTGTTGGCCGACCCAAGTTTGATTCTTCCGCCCCTCTCGGAGAGCCCAGAAAGCTACTGAGAGTATCTTGCCCACATGACAAAGCCTGGCAAGCTACCCGTGACGTATTTGATATGCCAAACACAGTAACATTTTTCACAATGGAGATGTTACTGGGCCCGCTCGAGCAAATCGATGAACAAGGGGAGGACAGTGACAGTGACATCTCTTACTGTGTCCATAAAAAAATGACTAACATTATTAAGAAATAGAAATAATATGCTTAAATAATTATTATTAAGAAGTATAAATATAAATATATTATATTATTTAGAAGTATAAAGTATAAATAATATAAATAATATTGAATATTATTAATAAGTATAAGTAATATGCTTGAATGATTATTGGATAAGGAAAGGAGAAATGCACCCCTAGAGGGTATTTCACCCTTACGTGGATCACCTTGCTGGGTAAGAATTTGTCCTAGAAGCTTCCCCTGAGCTTTGCATCTGGACTTTACACCTGTTGATCATATAACCACACCTATGTATAATTGCTACCCCAACCTCTGATGACTTTGCTGGATAACTAAGGCGGTAAGAGTGGGCAGGGGGAGGAGGAATGTGGGAGTAGGTGAGACTAGAAGCAGGCAGGGGGAGATGAGATTGGAATAAACTGAAACTGACCATCAACTAGCCTGGCCTCGTTTCCTCCTTCATCCGCCCATTGCCATCGGCTGTCCGGGGTGAGGCAAATGGCCCCAGACCATGGAATGCAGGCGGCAAGAGAACACTGCGCTTCACATTTATTTATTGATTACATAACTTCTGAATTTAGTGGTACATATACATTTAGTTAGTTACAGAGCAAAGCTACCTCCCTGGCTCTATGGCAGTTGCACCATTTGCTGTTCCCCCACTTGGTGTAGTATTTATGACAGCAACCTATCATCCTCTGATTGACTGCTGGAGTTCTTGGAAATTTAACCTCCCCAAATCTGCCTAAGGTCGCTGATGATGTCAGCCCAACTGTAGAAACTTTAAATTGCAGTCAGTTGTTTAGAAGTTTTAACTGTGTGTTCTAACTGAGCCCCTCAGTTCACATAAACATTGGTTCTAGGCACAGAGATATCTGGACACAGGGAAGGATTTGAATTAAAGGGGACAGTATTCATTGCATTATTTGGTATTTCTCTGTGTTCTTTCTCTTTCCCTCTCTCTTCTTCCCTCCCCTGTTGTTGTGGTGATGATCAGGGTCAGAGACATACTTGGCTGTGGAGCTTGCACCCTTTGGGGTTGTGCCTCAGCAGAACTCACACACTGGCCATGCAGTTCACACTCCATTGCAGCACTGACTGGGAGTCCCAGACTCTTTTCAGTTGTGGTATTATTGCACATTCTGGCAGTAGTACTTGCAGTGGTGGGGGGTGGAGGAGGGTCACAATTCCCAACTGTGGTCCTCATCTACCTTTTCTTGAGTCGTTGTGTTCCTCAGTGCTTGCAGTTCCCACACACAGTCCAGGCTGTGATGCAGCAGGGAGTTTCCTGTTGGATTTCAGACAGCAGAGCTGCCTAGCACCAAGAGCTGAGCTGCCAGGACCATGCCCAGGGCACGTGGCAGCACCAGGGTTTGGACTCATAGCCTTCTGCTTGCAAGACAGGTATTCGAATTCCCAGGAATATCTTCAGTCCCCTTCTGGGATCTCTTTAAACAGAACTAGAGATTTCCAAATTTTAGCTAATGTAAGACTGGTTTTAAAGCACTTTAAAAATAGTATTGATTTTACATAATTATGCCCCAAATAGTGTGTCAATTACCTCTAAAGTAAAGCAAGTATCTCCTTTAGATGCTTCATGGAAAAAGTGGAAATAATTGTGTGACTTTTTAACGTAATTTTCTGATTTTTTTTATTAACCAGAGATATTGAGCATCTACTTGCAAATACCTCGTTAATCTGCCAGGAGAACCAGGGTGTTCAGATTAGTTCATCTATTTTGATTTCTGAAGATGAATAATCCCTTTATTTTACTTACAGGATAGGTGCTATTCTTTTTCATACACCCCACTTCCTACAGCAAGAGGAGTTGAATTCAGTTTAATGTCTGAATGGGACTGAGAAGAAACATAGAGAGACGAAGAGAAATAAACCTTTCTTTAATGCGTCCTGTGGATACTGCCAGTTCTTCTTCAAAATGCCAAGGACAAAGATGAAAGATCTCATTGCTTTAAAAAACACATAGACTTAACACCACTGACTGCTTTGAGGGGTATTTTTCAACAATTTTTTGGTGTTAAATTACTTTATGTGTCTGTTAAAAAGCCTTGTCAATTTCTGTTTAAGTGTATTTTTTTAAAGGTCAAGCCAAGAATTGAGTAACTTAAGAAAGCACTTTGTGCCATATCCTGCCAGCCCAAACTCCAGGCTTACTAGGGCAGTGCTTAATGAGCCAGAATTACTTGTTAAATATATTGATTTATGGAAGGATCATGGAGAGAGAAGTCTCAAAATGGAAAGGGCTGTGAAGCCATAATGCTGACCTAAACCTTCTGGGGAAAGAAGTCTTGGTATATCTAGGAAGGAATTCCATGCCTGCACAGTTCTGCATCCTCCCTGTGTTCGGGGGCTAGAAAGTTCTTCTCTGAACGGAGAAGCAGAAATGCTAAGTGCAGAGGGAGCCATGATCCCGAGAGAGAAAAGAACCCAGGCTTGGAAGGAGTGAGCCTACAGGCTGCAAATAAAGATGACTCCACGAAAGAAAGCATTTTACCCAAAAAAGGACTGGAAAGTAGTGATAAACAGTCTCAGGTTAGCTCTGACACTTCCATGAAAACATTTAAGGTTAACTGCATGATGCTTCTTAAGTAGTACGGCTCACTCACTAAACCAGTGTTTAGGAATGGTGAATAAAACCTGCATTTAGCTGTTCAGAGATCTATTTTGGAAAAAAAAAATTAGTTGCACTGAAAAGAAAGAATCTCCATCTTTGCCTCTCACTTAACTGTGGTACGGGAATTGGGGAGCTCGAGTTGAGATCCTCCCTGTGAAGCTTCGGAGACCTGGTTGCTCAGCACACTCCCTTACCTGTTATGCCCTCCAGGTTGTAGCAGGTCTTATGCATCTTCCCCATAAAAAGCTCCAGGCCGATGATAGCGTAGATGATGATGACAAACAGCACAAGCAGAGCAATATGCAGCAGGGGCACCATGGCCTTGATAATGGAATTCAGAACCACCTGGAGACCTGCAAAGACAAAATCACAGAGAGCGACATTGGTGAGAACATCAGCTTCCAATGACTGGACCGAGTCTCTCTCTTCTCGAAGGCCACCACACACACAGTCTCAGATCATCTTAGCCACTAGTCTGGTGATATGTCACAAGTACTGGATTTCAGATGTGGCAACTGAGGCTTAAGGTCACACAGCAGGTGAGTGACAGAATGGGGATAGAAACCCAGTTTGGTCTGACTCCAAATCTCTTGGAGGCACGTCGGAATGAAAGGACTGGCAGATGCTGTATTTGCAAAAGAGCGGAACATATTGTTTAATCCAGAACAATCCAATTTTCTAATATCCCACCTTAGAGACAGCCTAGCATCTTCTCTGAGAGCACAATCTTGGTACAGAAAGAACTCACAGGGACTCTCTGATGGTCAAGATTGGATGCTTATGGGGCTGGAGCGATAGGCCAGTGGGTAGGGCATTTGCCTTCACATGCGGTCGATCCGGGTTCAATCCCCAGCATCCCATATGGTCCCCCAAACACAGGAGTAATCCTGAGTGCATGAGCCAGGAGTAACCCCTGTGCATCACTGGGTGTGACCCAAAAAGCAAAAGCGAAAAAAAAGATTGGATGCTTAGGGTCATGGTTGGTCCATGTACTATCAAACATAGATTAGCCTGGGCATCAGGAACTGGGAGGACATAGCTCTTGCAAAAAACAATGCATACCCTAGGGTACCTCTGGTTGAACCACATGGAACGGAAAGAGTTCTGAAAGTATTTTTTCCTGGATTATGTGAGTGAACCCCTCTACTTTGAAGCCACTTCTCCTTGGGTCCCAAATCTGAAGAACAGTCACAGTCACAGTCCTTCCGTTGTTCATCAATTTGCTCGAATGGGCCCAGTAACGTCTCCATTGGAGACTTTTGTTGTTACTGTGTTTGGCATATCAAATACATCACGGGTAGCATGCCAGACTCTGCCGTGCTGGCAAGATACTCTCGGTAGCCAGGCTCTCTGAGAGGGGCAGAGGAATTGAACTTGGGTCGGCCATGTTGGCCGCTTGTAAGGCAAACGCCCTACTGCTGTGCTATCGCTCCAGCCCAATCTGAAGAACATTTTTTAAATTTTTTTCTATTGAAAAATAACCCATAGAAGGGAGTTTGTGTTTAATAGGAAAGGAATTTCAATTGTGACAAATGGAGAAATTCTAGATATAGGTGGTTTTAGAGAGAACGATTGCAGAGTGTGAGTCCCCATACTGCCAAAGAACTGGATTCAAATTTTCCTAGGGTGATTTAATGGAAAGTTTTGATGTGCATATATTACAACACACAAAAAAATACTCAGATCCTTTCAGGAAAAAACCTAAGAATAAATATAAAGGTTATTTATCAATGGTCAGATATTATCTCCTATTGGTCAGTATTAGTAATGGGGAGAAAGAGCCCTTAGTTTATAAACTCAATCAGGATTGCTGCCAGTCTTGGTGGTGCCACAACTTCTCGTTTGCAAATAATAGGGACATGGTTAGCGGCAAGTCATCCTCCAGTGACCCTTAAGTATCAAAAAAGATTTCTGTCAACAGCCAGTTCATGGTTCCCACATTCTGGAGTGGGGGAAAGGACAGAAAGTGCTTTCTTCCTGAATATCTCATGGCTCTCTCTGACACATACCTTAGGATATTCAGCTCTGGATGGTGCCCCAGGGGGGCACTTTATCTGTCTCCACCTGTGCCACTCCCATTCTCAGACATACTTCTGCTTCCCTGCGTGTTGGGAGATTCACCTCTGTACCCATCACCCTCTGCCCTTGGTAAATAAAATCCAAGTGACCCTCTCCCAGACATCAAGGCTATTGTGGTTACTCAATGACCCGCCAGAGTGGTTTCAATAAGGCTAATTAGAAGCATTCTCTTTAGCTATTAAGTCAAGCTGGGGAGAGGGCAAAAAAAAAATAAAAGAATAGGAAAGCTGGAATGATTTTACCTGTGAATTAATGAGAGTGCTTTGCAGCGTCCCATTAGAACAAGATGTTTTCAGATCCAAATGATTCCATTAATTAGCAAGTTGTACACACATTAGTGTTAAAGTATGCTGAGCCACGGAGAAAGTTGAAAATTGAATGGCAAAGCAACTTTCAGAGGTGTCTGCTTGGGAAGAACACTCCAAGTGCTACTCAGACGGGGGGGGGGGGGGGGGGGGACTCTTTCCCCACTCTCTCCCACCCAGACCCCCAGGCCACTAGGGGGCTTGCTACCAAACCTCTACTCTCATGTTCTCGGGTGATCAGAAAACAGGAGAGATTCAGGAGGTAACTGCTGAAGAGGGTCTGCTCCAAGAATAGCACTGTAGCACTGTCCTCCCATTGTTCATCGATTTGCTCGAGCGGGCTCAGTAACGTCTCCATTGTGAGACTTGTTGTTACTGTGTTTGGCATATCGAATATGTCATGGTTTGCTTGCCAGACTTTGCCATGAAGGCGAGATACTCCCAGTAGCTTGCTGGGCTCTCGAGAAGGGCAGAGGAATCAAACCCGGCTCCGTCAGGCAGGCCGTAGGCAAGGCAAATGTACGCCCTACCTCTGTGCTATGGCTCCAGCCCCAAGAATAAAGACCAAAATCCTTCTCTTCCCTAAGGCCCTTGAGAGTTCATTCCAGTCTTTCTCTTCATCCAGTCTCATTTGTTGCCTCTGAATATCCTAGGTCCCTGGTCAAGAGCTTTTCTATTAGACTCTCACCTAGGGCTACTGTGCTTGTGATCCATTCTTCCTTCCTCTTTCAGAACTCACAAGAGGTGCTTTCCCAGTTCCCAATAAGAGAAGTCCACCCTCTTATGCGTCTCCTTGGAACCATTTCCTTTCTCCAGGAACTTCAGTGTCAGTTTGGAATTATTCATTGACAAAGAGCATTTCCATCAGCTCTGTCTGTCCCTCATCTAAATTGAGGTTGTACGGACAGGGGATGCAAGTTCTTAGGTGGCTAAGCCTTCGTTGTCAGGTTGGCCACAGGGCAGACACTTGGTGTTTCCTGCAGGAGTGGCACAAGGGACAGACCAGGTACATGCCATGGCTCACAGCAGCTTCGATAAATTCTGTTGCACAGGTGGGAAGGGAAGTGAGAAGGCAAGTTTGGGGCCTGCAGGTTGAGGATGGGGAGAAGCCAGAGGGAACTTGAAGTAGAATGTGGACTTCATGGCTAACATCAGGGTCCAGAAGTAAAGCTCTGGAGAGGCTGGAGCAATAGCACAGCAGGTAGGGCGTTCGCCTTGCACGCGGCCAACCCAAGTTCAATTCCCAGCATCCCATATGGTCCCCTGAGCATGGCCAGTAGTAATTCCTGAGTGTAATGCCTGGAGTAACCCCTGTGCATTGTCGGGTGTGACACCCCAAAAAAGCAAAAAAAAAAAAAGAAAGCTCTGGCCCTTTCTCCAATTTCCCTGGGAAGAGAACCAATCCTCTAGATTCTCCCAGTTCCCAAGCCCTGCCAGTTTGATTTTATAGTATTTTTAGACAAGGTAAAGGTAAAGGTAAAGGCCCTCCCGTTGTTCGATTTGCTCGAGCGGGCCCAGTAACATCTCCATTGGAGACTTTGTGGTTACTGTGTTTGGCATATCGAATACGTCACGGGGAACTTGCCAGGCTCTGCCGTGCGGGCAAGATACTCTCGGTAGCTTGCCGGGCTCTCCGAGAGGGGCAGAGGAATCGAACTCGGGTTGGCCATGTTGGCTGCATGCAAGGCAAACGCCCTACCACTGTCCTATCAAGTGGCTGGAGTGATAGTACAGCAGGTAGGGCGTTTGCCTTGCATGCGGCCGACCTGGGTTCAATTTCTCCATCCCCCTCGGCGAACCTGGCAAGCTCCCCATGATGTATTCAATATACCAAAAACAGTAACAACAAGTCTCACAATGGAGACGTACTGGTACCCACTCGAGCCCATCAATGAACAATGGGATGACAGTGCTACAGTGCTATAAATAATACATGCTAAATATAAAGAAAATGGAAACATTTCTTAGAGAAACATTAGAAAACAGCAGCAAAAAAGAAATGACCCCTATCCCTCCTACCATCCAGAGAAAACCACTGGTATACAAGATAGCCTTTTAGTATATGAGTTAGACCAAATGGTTCTGAGCTTATGTTCTTCCTCTTGAGCCTCTTGCTATTTCTCATCCAGGTAACTGGTCATCGTATGTTCCATTTCCCCCACGCTTCAGGCTGCAGTTAGAAAGTTCTTACTCAAGAACAAATTGAAATATGCGGTTTCCCTGTTGATGCCTCTAGTGCATTCTCTGATTCCTCCTTCCAATTTCACCTGCAGTAAAATTCACCTGCTCCTTTCCACAGTTTGAGTTAACATCCCAGCAATTAAAAAAAAAAACCTGTCCGGATTTGTCTGGCTTTTAGCCGCCCCTATCTCAGCATAGGAGGGCTGAGAAACCCTGGAGAAACCCCGGAGCCTCATTGTGTCTTATTCTTGTTCCTTGACATTCAGTACTTATTCGAAGCACATGGAACTAAATCACATCTGTAAGCAAAACGGCATTCAAATGACAAAACACAATATAAAGGAGTTGGAAATTGAATCGTTCAATGATACTTAGAAGAAATTGAAGGTGTATTGTCAAAGGGAAAAAAATTCATAGACTGGAAGAACACAAGGTAGGGAAGGTTAACAGCAATAGTTTTCATATTTTAAACTTTGCGTTTGAAAAAGAAGAATAAGGTGAATTTTGTATGACCATGAAATAGAATAAAAACTAACTTATGAGTATTCAAGACAGACTTGGATTTAACACAAATAAAAACTGCCCAAGGCTAATATGAAAACGGGGCGGGATGCTTTGAGAGAGAATGAGTTCTCCATCCTCAGGACTCTTCTGGTTCTAGAATATACTCTGGGACAAGACACCTTGGTAGAGACTTAGACATTCAGTGAAAGATTGTCCTGGCATGCCAGGCTCCTAAACCCTCATGGACATGCTCTGAATACTTAACCATAAATATAGCATTCACC